GCACTGCTGTGTCTGATCCACTCATACCAGTACAACACATACTAACACACCACCACCACGTCAGTGTTACTGCAGTGCTAAGAATGACCCACCACCCAAATAATACCTGCTCTGTGGCGGTCCTATGGGGGTCCTGAGTGAAAGGGGGCTAACAAAGTATGCAGAGAAACAGATGGACTTTAGTGTAGAAACAAGGAGGTGCACTTGAAGTGGCCAGTCAGTGTATGCGTCAACCAATCCCAAAACCAATGTGCCAACCAACCCCACCCACATTTGGACCCAGTTTGTTGTTATCCTTCTAGCATTGCCATCACAGCTTTAGGAAATGTTTAAATATAGATGATTCCCATCTATAACCTAAGCTAAAGCTATCATATCATCGTAGCATATATGCTTACAATGTGACAAATTAGGAACATGAGAATGCATGATGGGATAGGACACTTGAGATGAAGCTGTAATACTTGACCACAGAGTGTTAATGGCTCTAAACACAGACATAACTGTTCCAGTACTGGATAAACAACAGTTCATTTAGAAGTGAATGTTCTCGATGGAGTTATTTTGCCTCCAGGACATTCAGTGATGCCCAGTCTGTAGTGAACTGGAGGCTCTGTCATCAGATGTGTCACCTATGAATCATGTCCGTTCTTCTGTGTGAGGCACTGCAAACGCAGACTTGGACTCTGTCCTTATTCTGTCAGTGGGTGGACCTCTCAAAGCTAATGTTTACTTTAAATGCCTCACCACCTCACTCTCATTTCTCTCATGTGTGTCCTGGCCAAGATGCAGGGTGTGTCTATGCCTGCTCTGTCTGTCCGTCTGTCAGTCTGTCTCTCTCTCCCTTCCTTTTTTTCTCCCTCCCTCCACCCCTCCTTCCCTCCCTCTTACTCAGGATTTTAAACATTTAAAGGACTTCACTAGCATGAAGTGGAATTAATGAGTGTTGCCAAAGCCAAAGAACACAATGTTTGGGCACCCCTAGCCAATGTATGTATTTTGTTGAAGAAGTATTTACAACCTCTGCAGCAAACTACTTAAAAAAAATCAGGAAAATATTAATGCACAGTTAACTTACATTTGATTAAAATAAAAAGTAGAAAAAAACATACTTGGGCAAAACTTTGGACATCCTACTAGCTGAGTAGACACTACTTAGTGAGTGCTAACTCAGTATAAGTACTCTTTGGCAGATATTACAGCCTACAAGCACTTTTTATCTGCAGCTAAGAGTATTTCTATTCTTTTCTTTCTATTTCTATGCTGTTTCAGGAATTTTCACCCATTCTTATATGCAGGATACTTCTAGTTCTGCAATATTCTTGCAAGCACAGCGTATTTAAAATTAACTCACTGTTTTTCAGCGATGTTGGAGTCCATTTTCAATGATGCTCCAAAAGCTTCAGCTTGTGTTTCTTGATGTAGTTCATAGTGGATTTTGAGGTGTGTTTTGGATCATTGTCCTGTTGTAAAAGTCTCTGTTTGTCTTCAGCTTCTTGACTGACTGTATCACATTTGCTTCCAGAATTTGCTGATATTTAGTGGAGTCTGTTCTTCTCTACCCATGCTCTCCATCTACCCATGCATTGTTTCCTGTGTCGATGGCTGCCACAAAACCCCAGAGCACAACAGCAAGGTATTTTTTCATCAAGTGCTTCTCCTTTTTTCTCCAAGCAAACTTTAAGTGATTGAGGCCAAAAAGGTCAATTTGTACCTTATCAGTTTACAGCACTTGTTTCCAAAATGCCTCTGGCCTATCTAAATGTTTTTTTGTTTTTTGTTTTTTTTTTACATATTTTGGATGTTTTGTGATGAGGTTGCAGGTAAGGTTTTCTTCTGATGACTATTCCCTACAGATGTTTATATAAGCAACACTGTACAGTAGAATAGTGCACCACCATTCCTGTTTCAGCTAAACTTTCCTGCAGATCTTTTGCTGTCATATAGGGGTTTTGCTTTGCCTTTCTGGTTAGCATACAAGTAGTTCCATCTGAGTTTTCTTGGTCTTCCTTGACTTCCACAGTTCCCCTTAACTGGCATCTATGATTGATATTTCAGACAGTCGAAATTGGAGCGTTTTAATATCTTTTAATGGCCTTCCCCTGCTTTGTAGGCATTAATTAGCTTCATTTTCAGATCCTTAACCAGCTGTTTAGAGTAGATCACAATTGTTAGCACAAGGTTTGAAGAGTCAGCTGACAATACTTAATGACAATTCTTAACCTGCCTAACCCATCCTAACAAGTCAATTAAGGCCTTACAACCGGAAACGTGTCCAAAGTTTTGCACAAGCCACAATTACTTTCCCTATTTTCTTAAGTTGATCAACTATAAAGTTACTGTACTTTGGCCAGGAGTGTCCAAAATGCTGAAAATAAATGTGCTTGTTACTCTTGTTCTCTCTCTCTCTCTCTCTCTCTCTCTCTCTCTCTCTCTCTTTCACTCTCTCTCTCTCTCTCTCTCTCTCTCTCTCTCTCTCTCTCTTTCACTCTCTCTCTCGCTCTCTCTCTCTCTTTTCTAACTAAGTTATAACACTGTAAATCACTCCTGATCTGAGGTTTAAATCTTTGCTCCATCAGACTATAAATCCTCAATTTATTTACACCACAATATTATGTGTCTGTTGACAAATACAAGGACCTGTTTGCGTAGAATAAGCCTCAGTATCTTATTCAGAACTCTAAAGTAAACGTGTGCGGTGCTGCTTTATCAAACACAGCGCTCAGTGAAATCATTAGAGGTCCGTCTATGATAATAAATATTCCCATGCCGTCTGTCTGTATCATCAGCTGTAAATCAAGGGTCTGTTGATGTGGCTTTAGAGCTAAGTGCTTGACGGAATAATTGATTAAGGATTAATTACTTCGTGCTTGTTTATGCATTATTCATGGCTGCAAAATCAGATGTTTGAAACAACACAATGAGTTAGCCGGAGTGATACATAGGTACACTAATAAAAGTGAGGCATAGGTGTCTTGATTCAAATGACATCATTACCACATGACTAAAACAAATTCATTGTCAAATGCAAACTGAAAGAACTGTGTTGATCTAATGTGGAAATGATGTGATTTCTGCTGTAGTAATATGTAACATCTTGTTGAATTATTTTTGATAATTATGTGATTTTTTAAGCAACCTTGGTAAGGGCACTATACACATTAAAGTGATAACAATGATGATATTCCAATAGGTATGCAATTTGATTTATGGAATGTTGTCTATTCCCTTGGGAATCATCTCTAAGACAGATCTGAAACTCTCAGATGGAAAGTTTATTTATGTCTGTGACTCTGGAGGTGAAGTGTGTAGATGTTCCACAAAAACAAAAGTCCTCAGGTCTCTTTTAGAAGGCGTACATGCACAGTATACTCGTAAAAAGATGGTTCTTCAAGGGTTCTTTAGTAAGGAAATTGTTCTATATAGAATCACTCATACTCATGCATGATTAAGGGTTCTTTGGATTATGAAAGCGTTCTTCAGATGGATGGAGAATGTGCTGTAGATGGTTATATAGCACCAAAAAAGGGTTCTTTTCTTATTACAAGCGTAATAATAGCAGAACTCTTTTTGGTGCTGTATAACCATCTACAGCACATTCTCCATTAATCTGAAGAACGCTTTCATAATCCAAAGAAACCTTTAAACATTTAAAGAAATCTGCAGGGATATTTTTCCACACCTTCAACGTTCAGTGTTGAAGTTGGTTTTGCATTTTCTGCTTCTTACAATCCAACTAATGTCAAACACATTCAGTAATGTTGAGGTCTGGACGCTGGGATGGACAGTCCATTGTTCTAAGCACACCAACAGCTTCTCTGGATGACACTTTATTTTGAGTGGTCCTTTTTAGATGAAACACTCAACGGACTCACAGTAACATGTCAAAAACATGTGAGGGTTAGGATCAGGGCCAGCGTTAAGGTTAGGTTTTGTGTAATGGAAGTAACATATTAACAAAACATCTACTTAATGTCAGTAATGTATCAACAGCACATCTACAAGATATTTACTTCAATGTATTCAGATGCTTCACTACTGCTACTTCACTGATATGTTGTTGATGTGTTATTGATAGTCTAATAAGAGTTTATTGAAAATCTACAAAGGACCACTCCAAATAAAGTTATCCTTCTCTGTTTCTGTCTCCTTTTCTCAGTGAGGTTCTTTTTGACAGCTACACATCCTTTCAGACCCATAGCACTGAGTTGTCTTCTCACAGTGGAAGGATGAACCGAAATGTGTGGATTTTTACAGATCTGATCCAGAGTGATTTTGATTTTCTCCTCTCTCTCAAAGATGAAAGATCTTATTGTTACTTAATAATGCAAACTATTAATTGAAATTACATAAACTATATAATTTATTCAATGCATTCAATTAAATTGTATCATTTTATAAATTAAATAGAAATATATATATATATATATATATATATATATATATATGTATAACAGTCAGTGAATATGGAATCAGGTTGAACAATATGAGCGACAGCAGCAAATCATTTACATTTGTTGGATTGCATGAATTCCTTCATTCATTAAAACGTCCACAGGAAATCATCTGGATCATCTAGTGTTGATCCAGATGCTCCCAGCACTCCATAAGAACAAATTGTGATGTATTAAAAGGCTCATTTGCATATTGCAGCCTTTTGCTATTTGAATATTGCAAAAGCAAAAATTGCAATAATGATTAACAAAAGCCCTAAGATATGGAAGATTAAAGGAGACATAATCTGGACGTAAAGCGTTATTGCATTAACGCAGGGGTCCTCCTCTACTGCCTGACAGGTTAAAGCAAGTGGAAGGCTCTGAGAGTGGGTGGGGGGAGTGGGATGTAAAGTACCCCCCCTTAAACACACACATAAATACCCACACTCCTCCGATCCCCCTCCTTCTCCCCCATCTCTTCCCCTCTCTCTCCCTTCCTCCTCTCCGCCAGCCCACCCTACCCTGAGCTGTAATGGTACATGCCATTAGCAAGCCCATCTGAAGCAGAGGGGTGGTCTCAGCCTGGCTGAAGAGGCTACTTTGGAGCCACATAAACACATTCGCAGATTCGCCGTTGTGCTGTCAGCCTGCCTCCGACGCGGACGTCTCTCTAATCAGAGAGCGAGGAGAAAAGGAGAGAGAGAGATAGAGAGAGAGAGAGAGAGAGAGAGAGGAAAAGGGAGAGAGACCTAAGAAGAGAGAGGACAACCATCAAGCAAAGCATCACTGCTGCTTCTCGCCTATATCCCTCTTTCTTCAGAGGAAAAAAAAGCGGCTTCTGTCTCGCAGCATCACATACTCCATTTCTTCAAGCTCGAGAGAAAAAACACAAGCAATCTGGCTGCAGGAGAGAAATAAAGGCATGATTAGAATGCAGCTGACCGTTTGAAGGAAAAAACAAAAGGAGAGAGCCCAGAGAGGAGATGGTTTAAATGAATGAAGCAGTGTCCTTCCAGCAGCATGTGGAGGGAATAGCAGTCTAAGGTAAGAAGGAGCTTTGCTCTGTTTGCACATGCATGCCTTTCTACTCACCAATGAGGTTACACTGTAATGAATGAAACTGAGAAGCATGCAGCAATGACCAACAGGCTGAGACTGAAGACTCTCTGATTTGAGATGAGAAGAAAGAAAGACATGGATATGGATGTTCATTAGAACATAATACAGACATTTGTTAAGCACCCCACATGCATGGGGCTACTGACGCGAGCCCTAAGCCCAGACAGGGGAAAATGATTGATTGTCCTCATTGAAGTGGCACACAAAGCACTGAGGGCTTTTTTTGGTTTTTCGTTGAGGCGGACTCAGTCACCAGCTGGAAACCTCGGGCGACGATCATGTTGTTGCGTAAATCTGTGATTCAATGCGCACTGTGTGTCTGTTCGGATTCAGTATGGTCAATTAGCATAACTGCTCCTATATGCACAGTCAGTCTCATAACCATGGCATTGTATCAGACAGGGGCTAACATTTCATTTAAGGTCACTTATTTATGATTTATTATCAACAGTAGAGGATTAACAGGTTTGTGTTATTGATAACTTGCTGAACAAAAGAAGTTTCACTTCATTTGAATCTGAGGAAAGTCTAAATGACCAACCGCAGTATTGTCACCACATCACTCCACAGCTTGTGGCACTCTCTCATTGCAAATGAAACATTTAAGGTCAATTATTTAAGATTTATAATCAATAGTACACTATTTACAGGTTTCTGTTATTGATAACTCACTCGTGGGCAAAAGAAGTTACATTTCCTTCAAATCTGATAACGTCTACACGACCAAATGCAGTACTGTTACCACATCAGCAAACATCTTGACTTGTTCCACACAGTTAGTGCCCAAACAAATCATTTCAGGACGCTTATTTAAAACATGTTATCAATGATAGCTTATTAGCACATTTCTATTACAGACATCACACTTGTGAACAAAAGAAGTTTGACTTCATTTGAATCTGATACATGATCAGCTGTGGTATTGTTACTACAGCTTGAGGTGTGCTGCACACTCACTAATTGCAAGCAAATCATTTTAGGCCACTTAGTGAAAATATAATACCTGTAGTAACTATTACTGATAACGTAGTTGTGGACAAAAGCGTTGAGACTCATTAGATTCTGATGGCAAGTCTATAAGTACATGAGTGACTGGCAGTACTGTTTTCACACCAGTCCATAGCTTTACCTGTGCTATGTCACTTATTTAATATTTGGTATTTATTAATGCATTTCCATTTCTGGTAACTCAAAAGACAAGAAGGTTTACCTTATCTGAGTCTGATGGAGCCTGCATGATCCGCTGTGTTACCACATGAGTCCATAGTTGGACGTGTGCCACACAGCTACCACATGCTAATTACAAATTATTGTAGATTTTGTATTTTAAGATTTAATATCTCTTAACTGTTTTCTGTTACTGATAACTCATTAAGAACAAAAGAAGTTTCACTTCATTGAACTCGATGGCAAGTCTAGAGAAAACATAACAAACTAGCAGTTGCCACACAGTCCACACAGCTCACACTTGCTAATTACAAGCAAATTATTTTAGGTAACATAATCAAGATTTATGTCAATCATAGTCTGTTTACATGCTTATGTTTCTGATAACTGACAGGACAGAAGAAGTTTGACCTCATTGAATCCGTTGAAGTCTGAATGACAGCATAGTGTTCATACATCAGTCCATAGCTTAGCTTGATTTGTCCCACACAGCTAGCATTTATTAAATTGCAAATGAATGATTTTAGCTCACCTGTTTAAGATATATTTATAGATTTCTATTACTGAGAAATTGCTAGAACACAAAATAAGTTTGACCTCATTCGAATCTGATGAAGCCTAGAAGGTACAAGTCCAACCACAGTGCTGTTACCACATCAGTCCACAACTTGACTTGCGCCACACAGCTAACACTCACTAATTACAACCAAATCTTTTTAGGTCACTCATTTTAAGATGTATTATCTATTAATAGGTTTCTATTAATGATTACTCACTCAAGGACAAAAGAAGTTTCACCTAATTGGATCTGATAGCAAGTCTGGTGAATACACAACAGACTAGCAGTATTGTTACCACAGTCCACACCTCAACTTGCGCAACCCAGCTCAGCACCCTCTTACTGCAGATTCACTAACTGCAATTCATTTAAAGTCACTTATCTAAAATGTATTATCAGCAGTAGCCTATAGGATTCTATTACTGACTATTTGGCCTTATTTCAACCTCCCCACATCAGTCCATAGCTTGCCTTGTGCCACACAGCTAGCACTTAATCTGCACCGGAGTGTCAGTGTTGTTCAGTTATTATAAGCTTAGCACCTTCTGAGCCCTTCCCCCAAGCTGAGTGGCAATGCACTTCATGCCCAGCACAGTGAAAACAAATCCAATGAACAAAGCATGCATAGCTGTTCACTGGAGCAAAGCATGCATTAGATGCTATGCTAATTAACCAGTGACAGCCTTAGCGATCATCAGCATCAACTTCGCTTTCCATGGCAACGTTTCAGCCAGATGTCGCAGGAATAAGAAGTATAGCCGGCACAAAAGCCCAAAACCATATTATAGACCATTATGTAAGAGCTGATGGTGTCCAGGCAGGACCTGAAAGGCATTAGGAGAGCCGTGCAACTGTGTCATTGGAGAATTTAGCTCGATGTGGCTGCAGTTACCCTCGGATGTTGTCCCATGGCCAGAAAGTCTGTGTCAGAACGGAGACACATGTCACTGTGTCAGAAGAAGCTTGGAACAGCTTTGGTCAAGCCGGGCTTGGTTCCATCATGACTTCAGTGATTCTGAACAAACAAGTTTTCATAGGAAACAAGCAAACGTCTTGTTTAGAGCAAGACAGACTACCAACAGAAGCAGAACAGACGTCCAGGTTGGTCTGACTTGTCAAATTATTTCATGACTTGCCTCATTGTGAGTTAAATGTCTGAGGGGACTTTCAAGATCACATCTACTGACTCAATCGTCCGTGTGGAATTGTAACACGTAGCATCCAACGCCACAGATTATAAACAGGACTCAGCTCGGCCCTGCGTGGCTCCACTGTTCAGTTGTGTTCTCAGGAAGGTGAGAGGCTAGCGGGGCATTTTTAGAGCTGATTCAGTACATCAGCACATAGTGTTGAGAGCTCATGTGCAGCTACACAGCTTCTATTTCAGCTTACCAGTGTCATACAGCAGCCTGGCACTCTGTACATGCAGTTGTGAATTAGCTGCTGTCATGCTCCTGGCTTGGAGATAATGGTGATTCATATCTCTTGAATGCACGCAAAAGGACAAGTTTATTATTGTTGTCATATCAACTTCATAACTCCATTTTTACACCATTACACAATGTCAGCTGCCTTATACGTTTTATGATGAATGGACCAGTAGAAATGCTCCAAAATCATTGTACAGTAATGTACAGACACATTTTTGTCCCCCAGGGTTTAAACAATGTGCTCAAATGTAATTGTTTACCTTAAAGCTGCACTATGTAAGACTTTTTATGTTGCAATTGAAGGATGTAGCATGACTGACTCAGGAGAAAAAATGGTGTGTGTGTGTGTGATGCTATGAGTCGCCCTGTAAAGCTTGAAATAATCCTTTAAAAGTCAAAGACATTGGGTTGGGAGTTTTTCAGGCCACGTCACATGTACAGTCCAGCTGGATGTTCAGGTCTCGCATGCAAAAATCAACATTGATTTTTTACTGATGAAGATATGATGAGAATAGTAGATAATTTACTCAAGTTTTGACTGGGTTTTCTTTGAATTCTCTTTCAATGTGCTTGCAATCATCAAATTCATCCGCTCAGGGCAGGGGTCCGAAGCACAACCCATATTGCAAAGTGTTCTTCCACATGTTGTGCACAATTACACATTTACACTATAGATAGATAGATAGATAGATATATAGATAGATGGCAAAAAATGGCGAAACAACGATACAGGAGACAAAAAGCTCAGCTATTATAATGTGATAGAATGTGATAGAACGAAAAGAGATAGCTAACAATTTCTCATTTAACTCTCCAGTCAAGTGTCATTGCAGTCCAGAAGGACTTCTTTCATAAGTCCAGTATGCAGTGAAGTTGCAGCCAACGATTTCTGAGATGTGATGTTTTGCTCCTCTGAGTGAAACTTTTTGACGCTTGTTGAAACCAGTCCTAATGGAACAGTGTGAAGGGCAACTCAGAACTGAGACACACTGCAGACACTGTCGCCTCACACACTCAAATACACACATATCAGCTTTACCAGTCTTTAAGGTTTTTTCAGAGACAAGGATTCAATGCTTGAGATTTTTAGTGTCTCTAATTAGATTAATGATATAACCTAAAGTGCTGCTCCCGAGCCAGCTCAAACTAGTAACTGCTGTTAATAACCTAGAACTTTTCTTTAAATTCAAGCTTTTGGGTATCCTTTTTCTGCTGGCCACCTAGTGGCCATTCCACCAATGTTAGAGAATTAAAAAATAGGGAAAAATGAGGGACCTCAATAACAGGCAGAATTTGCATTTCATGGCTACTGTGAAAAGGATTGTAATTGTAACTAGCACTGTTTTGGACTTGCCTATCTTTTTGTGATCCCAGCCGTGAATGTTATTATATGTTGTCATTATATGTTATTATATTTTGTATATAATGTTATTATATAGTGGCATTCAGTGTTTAAAAGGCACTTTAAAGTAGAATGCATTACTACTAGATGGGAAAAAAACTTTTTACATTGGCTTGACAAAGCCATTGCTATGAAATCCTAGATGGTTGCTAAAGTGTTGCTAGGCCATTACTATGACATCCTAAGTAGTTGCTAAGTGTAATCAGGACATTGCTATTTAATCCCAGGTTGCTAAGGTGTTGCTAGACTGTTACTATGGTATCCCAGGTGGTTGTTAGCCTCTTGCCATGGTATCCCAGGTGTGGTCAGGGTCAATGCTATGGTATCCAAGGTGGTTACTAAGGTTTTGCTGGGCATTTGCTATGGT